GTGCTATATATAAACCCCATTTTGGGTTGCTTTTATCATATGCACAGTACACTCTAATCCTAACATTAATTTAACTAAAAATTCCAAATCCACTTTAACTCTATTTCCACTTACAACGTATAGATGTAGTTCAGTAGTTACATTAAAATTACATATATACGTACGTATTTACTATATATAATCAAAAATTTTAGTATTAATTATTTTAACATACGTAGCATGTAATTTATATTAATAATTAACTCGCGAGTAACTCACGAGTTAAATTTTCATGATTTGAAAAATGATAAATTCGAATTATTCAATCAGTTATGTAATCGTTATTTAAAGTCTGATCTCATAATGAATGAATAATAGTTGAATACGTGATGTCGATCAGTGTATCAGTTGATAACTCACGCATCTCAGATTACAGCTGACACATATCAGGTGACCGATCGACAGGTGATGCGCATCACCTGAAAATCGGCATCTGACATGTGTCAGATTGCATCTAATGCAAGGATGCATCTGAGGTACAACATATATATTGAATTAACTTTAGAGTTAGGGTCACCTTATATTAGCATAGCAGGCTTAAATTTGATTGGTTGATCGACATGCATATGTGTTATATATTGGCGTAATGTTTGCAATCACAAAATCGAATTGGCAGCCACCAATACGGATTGGCAAAGGTTGCGACATAAAAAAACTAAAAGTATACCTTTTGTTTAATATACTGTTAAAATAATTTGGTAAACGATTAGGTAATTCAGAACTTAGCTAAGAAGCGTTTATTGCCATTTTTTTATACTAGGAATCTATTTTTAGTATGAAATAAGAAAGCAAGATGTCTACACAGCAAGCCGACGAAATTACCACTACATCTAATACACAAAGAAGAAAGAGAAAAGCTCAGTACTGTGATCTAGAAGGCCAGAAAGGTGTCGACTGTGATTATGAAAAGAATGGGGCAACTATTATATCTGAAAAAATAACAATACCAAGTTCAAGTCAACATTTGAACTTGGTTGAAAAAGCTTTGTGCCGAAAACATTATAATAAATTAATAGTAAACGCAAAAAAAACCAAAAAAACTAACATATGTTCACATCCAAAACATGATCTTTATATTTCTACAGTTCGAAATAATTCAGAAGCAATGACTTTAAAAAAGGCACCAAAACAATTGATTGAATTTTTTAATTTGCCAGAGGGGGTGACTATGTGTCGTCATTGTCTATATAAAACTGACGATGACCTGGAACATATCAACTTGTCTAATTATCCACCAGCTCCAGAAAGGATTTCAAAAGAGAATGTAAAAAAATTTCAAGGTAGGTCGTATGTTTTACGTAACGACATCATCTATTCTGAATCTGAATTTCAGGAGTTGGAGTCCACATATCACGAAGTGTGTGCTGAGCTTGACAAAGCAAGACTAGGTAATAATTTTAATTTTTTATTGTATTTGAACCAAAACTTAATTTAATTTATAATTATCATTGTAGAGTTGGTCCTTCTTAGTAAGAAAATTAAGTTAATGGTAGGTATGTTATATACAAGACAGCATGTATATAACAAAAAACCTATTCTTGACTCGGATGAATTTAAGAAGATGCTTGAGGAGGCTGAACCATCTTTACAAGGTTTTTTTGATCAATTGGTAGCAGGAACTAACCCACAGGCTAAAAGCCATATGACTAATAAGAAAAATAGAAAAAGATTAGTTTTATTTTGTTATTTTCTTATAGGCCTTAATAACAAATTTATTAATAGGGTTAAAGCAGAGGTTGGGCTTTTATTAGACGCATCTGGAATATCATCATCGGCAATAGAAACCTTAGTGGATGCAGGGTTAACAATAAGGCGTAAAACTATTGCAAGGCACAAAGCCCGGCATACAGAAGTACATAATTTGATAGTAGAAAATTTTGTACAACAAAACGTAAGTGTACAATTATAATTATTATTATTATAATTCTCTTTTTTGTTTTTTTTTTTAATTTATAACTAATCATTCGTAATTACAATTTTTAACAGGCTAATAACTTGGTCATTCTTAATTTGGATGACTTTCATAATATATACGAATCCCGTCGCAGTGATACAACTACTGCCTGTGAAGTTCCCCATTTTGCCACAATTCTTTTAAAAGCTTTGCCGGAAGTGGCATCAATCACCTTTCATAATCCTAATCAAAATAATAACATCCATAATGAAAGGAGTATTAATACAAAAATTATAATAATGAATACTCATTCTGATTTCTTTCCTTATTTATGGCTTAGTTATGCAGGACGAAGACAAGCATTTAACGATTTGGTATCCGAACCAGAAACTCATGATGAGCGAATAGAGCGCCTTCTAATTCATTGTTACGATGACAGGATTGAGCAACGTAGAACTGATCGAAGCATGGATAATACTAAATTGGTAGATTTGAAGCATGGATCTCTTCACTCTACTAAAGATTATTTGAATGCTTTTGACGATATGCTAAGAATTCAAGAGATAAAAAATTATTTGGAAATACAGGTATTAATAGCACCTATGGACTATCCAGAGCAATTATATATACGACAAGCTATAACTTATCACATCAGTGCTGGTGATTTTTCTGGAATTTCAGAACAAGTTAGGCATATTGTTCTGATTATTGAACCCTTACATATATCCTTAAATAGCCGTAAAACAGTATTTCTTGAAAATTATCAGTTTTTTGATAAGCTTTTTCACAAGGTATATGGATATAATAAGGTTTTGGCACAAAAGCCAAAACCTTATAAAATTAACTTGTTATTAGAATTAGCATTTCAGGGTCGGTCTCAAGTGTGCTCGATAATCTTTCAGAAATTTAGAAAATCTAAAGATCCAGAACCCCGATATCTTATTTACTTGCTAGATAATGTTATACCATTAGTTTTAGATTTTTATCCTGTCATATTTCATAGTAGAAATTAGCCTGCATACAAGGAAGCCATGTTTTGCATCTGGGCTATTTTTTATCAATATCGACACAGGCATTATAATAAGTTGCTATTGACATTTTTAAGTGATGTTTTTTATTAGATTAGTACTAACCATCCCATTTCTCAAGTTCTAGTAGACTAAATCTATGTGTTCAATGATTATTATGTGGAGAACTTTTATAGCTCACTTTGATGGCAAATTCAGAAGTCGAACAATGCAGAGCAGATTATTCGGCAAGCACGAATAATCGATCAGATGCGTGGCAACAATTCTTTCACAAATGTGTTTTCTAAAAATCATAATATTAGATATTCAGCAAAACAGCTAGAATATCTTGAAAAACGTACTGCTCTCTTTCTCCTAGGCTTTTTTACAGGTATTTATTGGAATCTTGATAGGTTGTCATCTGATGCACATTCAAAATCTAAGTTATATGAACTTCTAGCATTTGGAACTCAAGTTGATGTTAAAGTATTACCAATGGCTTGGAATACAGCATACATTCCACGAAAAGATCGTTTCTGTGATTTGAAAAGCTGTGAAGATTCTCAGGAGGTAGGTTGTATTCTTGTTTGTGAATACACTTATCACTATGAATGTTTTTTGTTTAAATTAGGGAGTCAATGCCATCATTGTATCAAATATCTTACAAGAGGAATTAGAAAAAATTGTAAGGATTATCAGAAAACTTTGAATTCATTTGGTAAGAAACAAGAAAATAAGAACATAGGGGAATTGGAGATTGTTAAAACTAGTTTTACTAATATTGATGATGCTGATACTGTCGATGATACCAACATCGATAATGATTCCAATGTTGAAGACGATTCTAATATCGAAGGTGATTCTGATATAGATGATAATACTAATATTTGCGATGATCTGGTGATACAGATTTTCTTTTAGATGATAATACGGATCCTAATAATATCGATCAAATTCTTGAAAATGCTATAGTTGGTTTAACAAATATGTAATTTGAGTGTAATTATGAAATAAGTCATGTATTGTGGCATATATTTTTTGATGTGTTATTTTGAGAAACTATTTTGTATTGGAATTTATAGCATTTTGCCTTTTATTTTTAGCGAATTTATAATTTTTTTTTGGTATAAGTTGAATTTATTAAATATAGATTTTTAATTAAATTGCGATATATTTATTTATTTAATGTAAACTATTATTTTCTTTAATAATAAATATTGTATTACTACATATAGTTCTTATCGCATTTCATATTTGTTACATTGTTAAATTTAATGTTTTTATTAATTATAATTTTAAGAAAATTT